TGACCTGTGGCCCCCACTTATTAGTGGGATTCTTCTCCATCCTTCCCAGAATACCAGTGTGTTCCCCCTCAACAATATCTTCTTCATCCTTCCCCCAAGGGAGCTGCCCTTTTAAGATCCCCCCCTTGAAGTACCTACCTTCTTCCTGCTCTTCAGCATCACCATCTGCCCCCCACCCCCTCCAAGGGAACTGCTCCTTTGTCAACATCTTTTCCCCATCCTAGGTGAGTGGGCTTTCCCATCAGCATCTCTGCCCTCATCCCCTCCTGTCCTCCCCCAGCATAACAGAGGACCTTCCTGGGTTTAGCATCACCACCAGCCCTAGGGGGGTTCTGCCCCCATTCAGCCTTTCCCCATCTCATTTCTGGGAGACTGCCCTGACAATGAGCACCTCCCCATAGTCATCACTTTCCCCCACCCAACCCTTGTGTTTGCTCTTCTCCCCACAAAACCAGGCTGGTCCCTTACTCCTCCTGTTCCCTGGGGAATGGGTGACATGAGGGTCACCATTGAGGCCAGGCCCCTAACTCGCAGCCCTTTTTGCATTCAGTTTCTACCAGTAAAAATAATGCCAAAGCCTGCGGAAGAAACCCATGGGAGCCAAGTCAGTTCACCTCTGCTCTCGTAGGGACCAGGAACCCCTTCCTCCAAGCTGTTGCCCATTGCCCAGGCTTGCTATCTCGGGTGGGAGGGTGCTCCCCTACATGCACATATATGTGCACCCATGCACACACAGGCACACAAAGCCCATTCTCATGTGTTGGGGGAGGGGGCTGAGAAGAACACCATTCACAGTAGCAGCTGCACAGACTAGGCACAGAAACACATGCGACCCCACACACAAAGCCCATTGTCACACAGTCATCCCCCCTTCCTCCCAGCTCATTTGCATGAATTTGGGGCTGCAGGTTTACAGTGGATCTTCTCCCAGGGTTCAGTTAAAACAAAAAAACAAAAAACCCTCCCCCCCCACTTTTAATGATATGCACAAAACACATTTGAATGCAAATGAATTTCCTTCT